AGGCATAACTAATGACAAAGTAGTTGTCGTTACTTATGTGTTATTTGTAACATTTACTCTTTATTTTGTTTCTTTGCAGAATAAAAACATCAGGAAATAATGGGTCAAATGAATTTTTACTTTCTACTTCCTCTAACTTTTTTTCTCATTGTTTTATTTTCGCAAACATAATGTTAGTATTAACTATTTGTTAGCAGCCAACAACTTCTTCATCACTAACTGAACTAGAAAAACAATAACATAGTAAAAATAATTTTAACGTGCAGCGCATATAGAATCTACAAATTGGTCCCACGTGTGTAACACGTGACACTAAGTAGTACATATATATTTGAGAGTTTCTCTCATTTGGCTCGTTTTGACTGATTTTAAAAACAAATATGGCTTAGTTTGGTATTGTTGTAGATTTTAGAAAAATTACTTTTAGTTCTGCTGAAAGAAAAAACAGCTGTTACAAAACGCATCTGAGTGTTTAGTAAACTATAATTATAGTAGCTGTGCTGATTCTAAAATTAATGTAATAGCGTTTGGTAAATTATGAGGTTGAATAGCTGTGGATAGTTAAAAATTATGACTACATTATATTATATTATAATATAATATATATAATTATAATATAATATATATTTATTGTTATATTTAATATAATACAAAAAACTATTATTATATAATATATTATGGGCCCGTTTGGTTTGCTGATTTGAGTTTTAAATTCGAGTTAAGATGTGACTTTATGTGAGAGTTTTTTACTGTCACAAAAAAGTTATATGTGACTATTTCTGAGAGCTTTTTACTGTAGCAAAACTCAAATTTTAAACTTGAATCGATGAAGTGAACGGGACCTATATAATTATGATATATAATATAATATTTATTAAAATAATAATTGAAATAATAAAAAATTATGATTATATTATATCTGTAATATAATATAATATATATAATTACAATATAATGTATATTTATTATTATATTTAATATAATACAATAAAACTATTATTAAATGACATATTATATAATAATGATATAGAATATAATAATATTATTAAAATAGTTAATATAATTATAATATTATAAAAAAAATTATAATATTATAAAAGAAATAATAATATTTCAGTTATAATATAATTAAATATTATAACTATATTATATTATATTATAATATAATATATACTCATTATTATATTATATTAAACAAATATATTATATAATGTGCACTATAATAGATAATAATATTAGAATTATAAGATTATATTAATATTTAATTATATTAATTATTATATTAATATTAATATAATAAATATAATTATATCAATACAATACAATATATAACATATTTATTACAATATTACTATTACATTATATTATATTATATTATTATAATATATTATATTATATTATATTACGAGTCTGAATTTTAAATGGAGAATATTATAAATTTTAAATTTTATTAGAGGTATTATGGGTATTATGAAAGTTTCATTAATTGTATTATGTTGATTCTCATCAAATTTAAAAGTTAAAAGTTTTTTTGAGCTGTTTTTGATTTTAGTTATAAATTTTTCAAAAATTCTTTAAAAAATATTTTAAAAAAAATTTATTAAACACTAAAATTTACTTTTACTACAAGTAAAAATTAATTTTAAGAGCGAAAATCAACACCAAACTAAGCTTATATCTCATTCTTTCCTTCATTTGTTGACTGGTTTATAAGCCATCTTTAAACATTACTGTTCAGGTGAGCATGGATACAATGAACAAACAATTGCTGACGTTGCTAAGTACGTCTGGGGATTGGATGTTACTGTTCCGCAGTCTCCTTTATTTGAAAGTTGAATGGACTTTAATTATTCTTATATTTTTTATTTTGTTATTTGATATTTTATTTTTCTCATATTTTGTTATTTAATTTTCTGCTGTTTAGAAAAGCTGAGATGAGCTCTTAGGTATATCCAAGGGCTTTATAATCACCTAATCATCAGCCTCACCAATTTGAAGCAACCAATCAGCATTCTTATCGCTTATTGTCCTCGTGATAATCTTCATTACGATTTCTAGGTCCAAGCTTTTTTATTAAACAAAAACAAAGAATACCAAAGCAAACAAATAAATAAGAAAAAAAATTCCATCATTTGTTGGAGTGGGACCAATTAACATTGATATTTTATGCCGTATGGTCCGCCGCCACTACCCTAAAGTTGGGAACTCGCTAGAAAGTGAAAGCACTCGACATTTTTTATTTTATTTTCATTTTTAGTTTTTTATTTTATAGTATATTATTCGGTCACTAGATATTTTGCCCTCCCCTCTTCATTCGTGGGTTTTGAATAAAATTAGGGCATATTTAGTTCGTTGATTTGAATTGAGATGTAATTTTATGTGTGAATTTTTATTGTAATAAAAAAGTTAGATGTGACTATTTCTAAGAACTTCTTAATGTAACAAAACTCAAATTCTAAATTCAAATTGATGAAATAAACAAGGCCTTATTATTTTTCTTTTGGACGAATAATTTTAAATAATTAAGTAACATCATAATATTACTTCACCTGCTAAATTATATTTTTACGCTGAATACATCGTGTATCTAACAATCTAACAATATATAAAAGAGTCAAATCTCTTTTTTATAGGGCTATCACATGGCAACCCATCCACTTATTTTTTTGAATCTTTTTTACATTCTAATTTTTTGTGTTTTTTTTTATAAATATATTGTTCTTCACTTTAATTGTGTGATAGTAATTTTTCACGTGTATTCTTATTTTATTTTTGATTGGTTAAAATAATTTTTTTCTAATGTGTCCATACTTAAGTTTTTTTTGTTAATTATTATTTTTACACATACTTATTTTTTTAAAAAAATAAAAATATTTAAATAGTTGTATAAATGAGTTTCTTAATTTTTTTAATAAATAATAACTCTTCAGGTGTTTTTAAAACGGTCATACGTGCAGAGTACGTTATAAATTAGTACGGAGTAAAAAGTAAAAATTAGAGGGTAGATGAAATAAAATGGAATTCCAAGAGATTCTCACTTGCGCTAAGCTGGGAGAAAGATTCGTTAGGTCAATATTAGAAACACGTGGTTTAATTTGTCATTTTCTTGATTAAAGGGATTAATTTTTCATATGGTCCACGACTTATTTTTGAGGACAAGACAGGGCTTTTAGGGGGAACATCTTTTTAATTGGGGATACAATAAAGTAATATTAGGCCGACCTCTTTTGTTCTTTTTTTTTTTTTTTTTTTTTTTTTTTTTTTTGCCCTTTCAAATTAACTTGAGGATTACCAGATTCTTCCCGAGAATGCTCAGGCCACCTTTGATTGTAAATAAGCATTTTTGGTTTGTTAAACTGTTTATAAGTATTTTATACTAATATAATAAATATGAATTAATATTTGTTGAATCCAAAGAGATCAGTATAAAAGATCTAATCTCCATGAACCAAGCGTTGTACATGACTCGACTGTCTGTCACACGGGTAAGCTTCCCAAATTGGATTGGCATTGGATTGAAAACTGCGACCCATATCTTCCCAAATTTGACTCTTCATTAGGGTTAGCTCTTTTATATATATATATAATATGCGTGTATAAATTTCTTTAGGTACGAAATTTACCCGCTTAATTATTTCCCTTTTTTTGTAATTGGAAATTGACGCGGGCATCTAAACTTCCATAAATGAAATATATTGCGCAAAAAAGGAGAAAAAAAAAACGTCCATAAATTCAAGTCGAATTATTAACCTTCCAACTTTATAAATGTTACAGTTAATTTAGGACCAAATAGGTTTCTTTCTTTCTTTTTTCGTCTAAAACCAAATATTATTCGAAGGTTATTATTGCGTAAATTATTTGTTTTTTTTTTTTTGCCTAGAAATTTGTGGGTTTTTTAATCGATAGTTTAGAAATTTTTATTTTCCTAGCCAAATGAAGCTTCCTGCGTGAACTTAGTTTTAGAAACGCTAAGTCATGTATCCTTATCAAACTAAAATTATTATTATTATTTTACCGTCTTTGAAGTAATCAGAATAAAAAGGAAGGCGTTTGACATGCGAAATACTAACACACGCCTGATGGGAGGACTCATTTGACCCGGGTGTTTTCTCAATTGCCAAATACAACTTAGAATTGTACACAGTAGTTTTTCTTTCTTTTTTATTTTTTATTTTTTATTTTAAAAAAATTGTACGGTCCTATATAATATAGAAGTGAATGCATATGATTTTCCTCAAAATAATTCCAACTTTAAAATCATTATCAGTGTAGAATATTCATTAAAGGACATATTAAATACAAGACACATAGATATAGAATAAACGCGTATGGGTTTTGTTTCGTCCAATGTTCAGAAAAGAAAACATAGTGCACAATATAAAAGGGATATATATAGTATCATTACAAAAAAAAAAAAAAAAACATGTTTGTTCTTTGTGACGAAAAAAAGTTAAATTTGCATTTGTTTTATGAATCTTCTAATATATCTCGGCAATATTAAAAGTAAAAGAGTTCTTTCTTTGCTTGAAAATCTATTTTTGAAGGATGCTTGAAAATCTATTAAAGATTGTTGAGTAAAAGAAAAGTTCATAGCTTTTAGCAAACTTTACATTATTTTAACAAAAGAGGGGGTCTACGGAGAAGAAGAAACAACAGAAAAGGACAGTTTGAAACGGCTCTGACTGGATGACAGAAATGAATTCATGAAATTAAAACGGGGAAAAAAATGGAAAGCCCGTAAAAAATGGGGGTTAATTTACCCACACACAGAAAAATGATTCAGTTGGAGATTCTTGGGCCCTGTGGTGTAAAAAAGCCCAAAGAGTTCATTTCCAAAGGAGTTTTGAGTAAATTTGAACAGTGGCACGTAGCGGGTGGGGAAACACGTGCGAGGAGAAGGAATCTTTGATTAAAATTAAATTAAAATTTAGAATCCAAGTTTGGGGTGTTTGGAGTCCGCGAGCGCCTATAAAATGGCCCTACTTCATGGCTGTGGAGAGCATAACACACGAAAAACACACGAAGGAGAGAGATCAGGAGAGGAGGCTTAGGCTGAGAGATATAGAAATATGGGCGGTTGGGCTATAGCGGTGCACGGCGGCGCTGGTGTTGACCCAAATCTCCCACTCGAACGCCAAGAGGAGGCCAAACAGCTCCTCACTCGTTGCCTCAATCTCGGCATCTCCGCCCTTCGCTCTAATCTCCCTGCCATCGATGTCGTTGAACTCGTCGTACGTCTCTATTGACTACCAGTTTAACGTCGTATCTATGTGTGATAATGGATGATTACGGAAAAATAATGTCGTAAAAGTTTTCAGAGAATCTGCATTTAATGACTTGCATGTTTTTGTGTTGGCAAATCTGGCTTCTCTTTTTGGAATTTTTTAATAATATAAAATTTTGGTTAAATTTCTTTACTATTGTGGTAAGATTCTAATGGCGGTGGTGTTTTTGTTTGTTTGTTCTAAAAAGGTGAGAGAATTGGAAACGGATCCCATCTTTAACTCCGGCCGTGGATCAGCCCTGACGGAGCAAGGGACGGTGGAGATGGAGGCGAGCATCATGGACGGCCAGAAAAGACGATGCGGTGCCGTTTCGGGCGTGACCACAGTGAAGAACCCGATCTCACTGGCCCGTCTCGTTATGGACAAGTCCCCCCATTCCTACCTTGCCTTTTCCGGCGCTGAAGAGTTTGCTCGCCAACAGGTAACAATTTGACCCCCGATTTCTTCGCCGCTAACAAATATCAGTTTTAGTTTCATTCATTTCACCGTAATGAACGAACCCGTGGTTCCGTTGAAAGTCACGCGTTGAAAACAGGGTGTTTAACTGCCACGTATGCTTCAAATATTGTTTCCGAATCTCCAGACTCCCACGTATCTCTCTCAGACAGTATTTTTAGGAGTACTAGGCTGCGCTTTGGCTTTTCGTAATGTTGTATTTTGTAACGCTTTTTATTGTTTTTTCAGAACCGTGTAAACCTGTTTTATTTCCATAATCACCCTGTTTTATGGTGAAAAAGGAAATTTTGTTGACGGTATGTGGTTGTTAATATATTTTTTTTTTCAGGGTGTTGAAGTTGTGGACAACAAGTACTTTATCACAAAAGAAAATGTGGGAATGCTCAAGTTGGCAAAAGAAGCCAAAACCATCCTGGTACGTCCGATTCTCTCTGATCATATGCTGTCACAAGTCCAACAATTGTGGGCCTTGGCTAACGTGGGCTTTTCATTTCTACTGTTTTTTCGGGGACCAGTTCGACTACAGGATCCCAGCCGTCGGATTGGACACGTGTAGCGCCGGCGTGGACAGCCCGCTGGTAATGAACGGCCTTCCGATAAGCGTGTACGCGCCGGAGACCGTGGGCTGCGTGGTGGTGGACGGCCAGGGTCATTGCGCCGCCGCCACGTCGACGGGCGGCCTTATGAACAAGATGATGGGGCGCATAGGCGACTCGCCCCTGATTGGCGCTGGGACGTACGCGGGTGACCTGTGTGGGGTTTCGTGCACGGGAGAAGGGGAGGCTATCATACGCGGGACGCTGGCGCGTGAGGTGGCGGCGGTGATGGAGTACAAGGGCCTGGGCCTTCAAGAGGCCGTAGACTTTGTGATAAAGGAGAGGCTTGACGAGGGCTACGCTGGGCTCATAGCTGTGTCGAGAAATGGTGAGGTGGCTTATGGGTTCAATACAACTGGGATGTTTAGGGGATGTGCGACTGAGGATGGTTTTATGGAAGTCGGCATTTGGGAGTAGTGGGGTGTTTCACGACTTCTCTCCATTTCTCTCTCATTGTGTTTGTTGGTTGGTTGGTTGAAGGCTTAGGAAAATATATTTTTTTTCCTTAGATGTAACTTGTGGTGGGAAGTACTACGTACATGCTTCGTGCCGTTGTGTACTACGATGACTGGTCTCAGAAATAAAGTGCTCTGCAAGTTGCTACCTTCTCGTCTTAGAAGAAGAATTGAAAAAAAAAAAAAAATTTGTTAACTTCTGTTTTTCTTTTTCTGTCTTTTTTTTAAGAGTTTCACCCTTTTAGTAGGGCTTGATATCTGATCGATAGATCTGATGATTAAAATTATATTAAATTAAAAGAGTATGTAAAATATAACTTTTTAATATAGATTTAACTTAACGGTTGTAAATAAAGAAATAAAGAATTATTGATAATTTATTTCTATTATTCTTAAGAGAGATTTTTTTTTTCTTTTTTGTTTTTATTTTTTAAAAGTCCTTACTCCTTAATCATGGATGCCAAATATTATACTTAAATCAAAAGAGGTAATAATTTTAGCGATATCAATTATGGGTTGAGCATTTTCCCAACTAGGTGCACTTACTCAACTATAGATTAACGTGATTACTTCGTTTTTTTCGCTGATTCGAGTTTAGAATTTGAGTTTTGTTACAGTAAAAAGTTCTCAGAAATAGTCACATCTAACTTTTTTATTACAGTAAAAAGGTCTCACACAACATCACATATCAACTCAAATTAAAAATTTAAATTACCGAACTGGACAGACTTAGTAAAAAAAAAAAAATCAGTAATGTTGTTTTTAATACTGAGAGGAATAAAAAATAAAAAGATTTTCATCTAGACAAAAAATTAGGCGCAGAAAGACCTGTTAGTGGGGCAGCGGCGTTCTCTCTCTTTTTTGAATACGTATAGGTCTTTTCTATAAAGAAGGCCTACAAAAAAAAAAATTTGTTTTTTTGAGAAAGTCTGGACATTTTCTTATTTCCGCTAGAAAAGTAAGTTGGGTCGTATTTTACGAACAGAATTAAGTTGGACCGTATTTTATGAACAGAATCGTATAATTTCAAGTGGCAACAAACACACCTTCCTGCGAATCCACCAATCTATCACAAGTGTGGTGGGGAATTTGAAAAGGATATCTAACCTAGCTCTGATCAAACTGTCATCTTGTACTCTTGTACGTTTACGTTTGTCTGCTCTCTTTTTAATTACATATTTTGTAATAAATATTTTCATGTGTGCTTTGCTACGAGATTTTTAGCAGATGGTTATACGATCGGAAGTAAACACATTGAAAACATTTTTTAGTATGTTAGGCATTTTACTTCACCAGCGCAGCTAACAAATGACATTGCCCATCACTTTCGTAAAGATGGAAGGTTGTTATTGAGTACTCCATGTTGACTGCCGACATCATTGGTACTATAGCCTGTTCAAGAATTCCGAGAAAATGATGATATGAAATGACCGCCATATGTGGTGATATTGATCAAATTAACACCCCAATAAGTTTAGTAAAGAAGGAAATCTGATAAAATCAAATTTAAATTGTCTGAATACATTTTTATTTATTTGCGGATTTTCAACAATGTAAAGTGAATATAGAAAATTAAATATATATATATATATATTTTGCGACAGGATATAGAAATTGAATGTGAAAAGACATCTTACACAGTTTAGTTTTCTTCTCTCTCTCTCTCTCTCTTTGAGTGATATGGAAAATTAAACAATAAGACGAGAATTCAATGTTTTGATTTTCTGTACAAGTTTATTATAATTTCATTTATCAGTTTTATTTTTTCTCTTTTGGAAAGACCGCAGATTTGGGCAGGCCTTAGTTTATTTTTCACCAGAGTCCGGGTAAAAAAGCTCTTGGATAGCGAAATCTTACTAGGAAAGGAAATATACAGACCACAGGCTCTTGACAAGTCACGTCTGATTAATTTCTCATCACTTGCTTGGTTTTTGACCGTCAATTGCAGAATCTCCCCAGAATCTGCTTAATTGAAAAACACCGACTCACTTTTTAATCATACATTGATTAAGCTCAACGTGCTGAATATTTAGTGGGTCTTTTCTACAAGTAGTCAAATCAGTGTTCTTTTGCGACTTGAAATATCAAAACGAATCTATTATTATAAATATAATTAAGAAGAAAAATAAATTATATTATTAAGTATAGTTTCATGTTTCCTTTTTTGCTTGTCAATCATGTCCATGTTCATGGTATACGTCTCAAGTTTTTGTTTATAAAGGAACTAATAACATGAAATTTTAACACTTGTCCTTTTGTCAAGTTCAACAGAGAACCACGCAGATTATTTGTGCACAGGAAAAGCACATGTACAACAAAAAGTTCATGTTGCAAAGCATACTTATACAAGATGCTTTAATTGACTTTGTAAACTCATAAACAGAACATCATCACGCCCTTAATCATTACATTACTAATATGCCTACTATCTTTTCATTGCAATATGTTGAGAGGACTTGAAATACTTAGCCGGCGTCACTCATTCCCTAGTCTTATTATCTTTGCCGCCACCGAATATTGCATCCTTGGCTGATTGCGCGGCATTGGCAACCGCCGCAGCTGCATCAGCCAGGACGCCGCCGCCGCCGCCCGAGGCCGAACCTGGACTCTTCCGAGTCAGATGAACAACGTGCACGTCAGCCGTCTTACGTTCTTTGTGTTCCTGTCCCGGTGGTGTCTGATAATCTACAGTATCTACTGTGTCCACATTGGTCTCAACTGCACCATCTTTGTTCATTTCTTCACTTCCCTACGAGAAAGAAAGCACAAAAGAGCAAAGGAATTAACACGGTTTTCGCATTCAAACAATTAATTTCTATATCAAAAAAAAAAAAAAAAAAAAAGATAGGAGAGAAAAATAGGCAAGTGGATTTTTACTCTTGTAGTGCTCATGTTGCAGGATTTGAGCCGGATAGTTTCCAAAAAAATTCACCAAGGATTTTATCCAATCTTGATCTCATGAAATCAAAGCGTAACATTTATGTTCAGTTCATTGTGGTACTGAGTAGGTTATAAGTAGTTAGTTGATTTGGGAACGGACACGTAGTAAGTGAGGTGGCTACTTTTGCTTGAAACAGGGCTGAGATTCTCAAGTGGTGATGCCGCGTTGCAGGTGCCAGGTAGTAATCTTTAGTTGAAACGTGTCAAAGATACTGTACAAGATCCGTTTAACGCAGCTTTTGCTTTTTAGTAAAAGAGGTGATGTAAAAGATGTGGTTTCTAAGAAGGGTTTAAAATAAAAGCGATTAATGAGTCAAATAGTTTTTAAAATAAAAGCGATTAATGAGTCGAATAGTTTTTAAAATAAAAGCGATTAAAAGCTGAAACATTTCTAATAAATGATCTAAACACTTTTAAAAACGGTTTTTAGAGTTAAAAAATTAAAAATAACTTCTAAAAAACTCTTCCAAACAGGCCCACGGTAATGAATGATTAACTAATGTGTCATAAATAAAAACATAATGTTCATTTTTTAAAACTATGTTTGCCTTCATAATCACTACGATAAAACAGAATATTACAATATAAAATCACACATCTTTCAATTATGTGTTTTTCTCTAAATTTTTTCGTCGTAGTCTTTTAATATAAGAAATTTAGCGCAATCGATCTGCGTATCAAAGTGGAGGGATTGATAAAAGAGATTTAAGGGGGTGTACACACTGACTAGAGAAATATGCAGTTCTTACTGTTAACACTTCAAACACATACTGATAAGGAGCTATGCAATATGATCACAAAATGGATATTGCATTATGAAACAAAACTATCGTGCCAAAAACTATCTACCAAACGAATTTCTCAAGAATTTATTATAAAACAGATTTTGACAATAGTGATGAGTAAATTAACTTCCTTACAACTTGAGGAAAACAAACTCTTCAATGGACGATATGTCTCCAATTTTCTTGAGTGCTTCCCTGCTGGGTTCATCATCAACACCAATGGTCATGACAGCTTGTTTCCGAGGAGCAATCCTCCCAACAGTCATGAAACTCACGTTTACATTCTCTTCTCCCAGGATACTCCCAACTTTCCCAATCAAACCTGGCTGATCAACTTGCCTGCATAATATTATGCTTCCTTCAAGGCTCACATCAACATCAAACGACCCCACTTTGGTCAAATGAGGTTTTCCATCTTTAACTCTTCCCTCAACTTTAATCTCGCCTGAATCCGAAATGGCACTGGCGAATCTCGATTCGACATTGGCAATTTGAACCTGAATGAACTCCAATGGATTCTCTGGTGAGCCGTCTAACAAGATTATTTCCTCTGTTATCTTTAGTCCTCTCTGTTTGGCTATGAAGTCAGAGTTAACCAGATTGATAAAAACACTTGAAATTGGCTCTATTAGACCCTTTGTAACCATTGCACGTAGCAGACGAGTGTCGAGATCGTCTGGACTTCTAGAAGATGCATAAGTTATCCTTATTGATTTTATGCCACTTCCTCCTGCAACCAGTTGAACCACCAGCCTTCCCAACTTTTCTGCTAATGAAACATATGGTGCCAGTTCCGACAAAACCTATGATCACGGACTAGGCATGCTTAGCAACCAAGTCAAATTAAAGCGCTTAATGAGTTTATGGCGCGTTTAAAGATGAAAGGAGTAGTGATTCTTTTGTTATAATTACAAATAAGTTTAACATGCCACGTATAGGAAATAAGAAACGCTAATACCATTCCTTACTAGTTACTCCCCTTAGTATTAATACCAGATTAAAGACTATAAATACTAAATTTACTTACTATTAATAAATTTAAATGTAAGGCAAGCCAAAAATTATTTAATTATTATGCAAAGGATATTTTAATAATTATATTGATAAAATTCTTATCACTATGCTTAGTAATGCTAAAAGAGGTTATTGCTTTACATTTCTTTCCAATCCCATTACATTTCTCATTCAATTACCGTTTGGTAAACACGCTCTTAATGTATACAACTAAACCACATGTTTTAGGCCAATAATAGGACATAAATGGAGTCGAAAATTTTCCATTAACTACCTCTGCAGGGACCATTGGTGCATTCACAGCAGTGGCTGCAAGTTCACCTTTCAGGGCCCCAAGTACAGCTTCCGCCACTTCACGTGCCACTCCTTCCTGATTATTATGAAAAACAGCTATTTTAAATGCTATTAACGATGGTAAACCAGAAAATATAGTGACAAATTAAGCTGATTATTATGACAAATTGATACACCTGAGCCTCAGATGTGCTAGCACCAAGATGAGGAGTTGCAGTCACGTTTTCATGCAGAACCAACTTGTTGTCTTTCGGTGGTGGTTCCTCAGTGAACACATCAAGTGCCGCCTAAAAAAAAAAAAAGGGTAATTCAAACAAAACTAAGATAGTGGTTTTAACGAGGAAAGGGATGTTTGTCAATAGAAAAAGTTACCTGAGCAACAATCCCAGAATCCAAGGCCCTAAGTAGAGCTTCCTCATCAATGACTCCCCCACGGGCAACATTGACAATCCGAACTCCCTTTTTCATTCTACTAAATGCTTCATCATTGAACATCTTGGAAGTAGCAGGGGTGAGAGGCATATGCAGGGAAATAAAATCTGCAGTTGAAATGGCTTCATCAAAGCTAACTAGCTCCACGCCTATTGAGCGGGCACGATCTGCTGGTGCATATGGATCGTGCGCAACAATGTGCATTCCGAGCCCTTTCGCTCTCCTAGCAACTTCTGATCCAACCTTTCCAAACCCCATCACAGCAAGTATTTTCCCCACTAGGGACACCCCAACATACTTGCTCCTCTGCCACTTCCCTGTACATGGCATGAAAATCAACTAAGAATAACCATTCTAGGCCTAACTATAGAAAAAGAATCCACAATACGAATTCTATTCAATACAATGGCATTCTCAGTTGATGATCAAAGTAAAGAATTCAGATCATTTGCGATAGCATTAGGCAGCATAACAACAGAGGAATGCAACACTTTAATATAAGCAGTTCAAGAGGAAACGTTCTAGAATCGCTGAATTTGTAGACAGAAATTTGGAGAGCAAAATCAAACCAGATTTAACAGAAGCATCAGCCTGAGCGATGTTACGCGCCATGGCAGTGAGCAGAGCAATCCCATGCTCGGCGGCCGCAATAGTATTGGCGGTCGGGGCGTTGACGACAAGGCATCCATGTTCCGTGGCGGCCGACAAGTCGACATTGTCGATCCCGACGCCGGCGCGTCCCACCACCTTCAGCCGGCCTCCGGAGGACTCGAACACGTCGCGGCTAACGGTGGTGCCGCTCCGGACGATCAAGGCGTCGCAGAGGGAGATCTTGGTGCAGAGCTCCTCGGGGCTGAGGTTGTAGGAGCAGTCGACGTTGGCGAAGCTCTTGAGCAGCTCAAGACCTGCTTCTCCGAGCTTCTCGGCGACCAGGATGGTAGGCTTGGCGTCCAATATTGCTGTCACTATCAACGACCTTTTGGCCTTGGAAAGACGGCGGGAAGGGACTGAGATTTTGCATGAGAGAGAACCAGAAGGGAAGAAAGGCGATTGTTGGTTTAGGCAATGAGAGGAGGTGAGAGCAGTCCATGAATATGTTGACGCCATCTCAATACCTCTTCTCTATGTGGCTCTCGTTCCATCTTGGTTTTTAGTGGCTACTTTTTATTTCTCTTTAGAAACGCGTTTTTTTCTTTTTTTCAAAATTAACTTTACACAGTTTAAAAGATTGTGTGGCCGTTGCTTTTCACAACTTAATTTGCACCGACATTGTTGTAACGGCGTTAGAAGATTTCGCATGTTCTAAATTATATTGATTGGTATCATAAATCTCAAAAATCTCAACAAGATTTGAGTAATCTTATATATTAAAAGATGATTTGTTAACATTAACAATTCATTTAATCTTGAGGAGCCATTTGACAAGCAGGTATAGAAGATTTGGGCATTAGTGGTGCTGAGATAATGTACCTACTAGGCCTGTTGACAACATTGTTGAATAAAATAAGCTCCAATATTCTGTATTATTGATAACTTAAAAAACCAATATGAATTTGAATCCTAACCATTGCTTTTTCTTCATATAGAGAACGACAGACTAAACTTACAAAATGAAGCTTTGGAAGAATAAAAACTTGCAATTCATGAACCTGAATTTTCAAAATAACTCCAAGAAGAATACACCTTGTTGTATTATCACAGATACTCTTGAAAACTAAGAAGCAAGAAAGGCACTAGCTATCTTCTTCTCTTTTTTTTTTTTGTTTTTGTTTTTGTTTTTTTTTTTTTGAAGGAAGTAAGAATGTGGAGGTATCTGCTTTAAGTCGAAATCCTGCTATTCTACTTAATGGACGGAACGCTTGTGTTTTGATATTTATACTATACAAAGTAAAACCTTTATAGACAAATAGCTTAAACTGATTCATGAACATGAATTTCAACTTTTCACACAGACAAAATTCAGGTTACTGGCATGAGTACTAAGAACCAAGAAACGCATGAGCTAACATTAGACCAAGTCGAACCTCAGACGCAGTCGTAAGGTGGAGGTTATCTGCTTTAAGGGGCAATCCCTTTGCATCAACGCACTTGACGTTAGGTAAGTTAATCTCTAGCTGAGCCTTTCTAACCACATCTGTGAATTTTCCTTCTCCAGATGCAAGTACAACCTGCACCACCACAATCACAAGTCCGCTCTAATTATGAAACAGATTCAAACAGGATTCTGACATGCCTTAAAATAGTGTAAGAAAAATGTTAGTCACACTAAATATAATCCCAAAAATCTTGTCGCCATATTTTTTTTAGCCAAATTATCAGTCTTTCGATAGAAAGTAGCTAAATTTTCCTTGACTATTGCTCTATTATACAACATAATAATCGTTTCTGGTCATGTATGTATTTGGTGAAAGCGATATATATTAAGAAAACGTTTTTCAATAACTTACTAAAGCTATTGTACACTCCCTACCATAATAATTTCCTAAAATTTCGTGATATGTTAATTTGTCTGCTTTAAGAATAATAAAAAAAATCGACGAACAAAATCAACCAATTTTTTTATCTTCAGCCATATTAATCTGATCAAATTTTCGACTTAGTTGTAAGAAAAGACCAAAATTGTGAGGAAAAAAACGGTAACATTCGACGAGAAACATCACTAGTAAATATATTTATTAAAATCCTAATATAATTTTTTTTTTTAAAAATGAGTGGGCATATCCGATGGGAATGGCCCCACTGCCCACAAGGTACATCTTGTCATTTTTTTTTTTTTTTCTCAACACATCTAGTCATTTTTTTTAACTCAATATTGTCTTAATGAAAAATTATCACGGAACATTTCAGATAAGATTGATGTTAGATGATCATCAATTTCCAACCCACAGAAAAAAGTAAAATAAAATTACAAGTAGTAAGCAGAGATTACAAGACCAAACCTGAATAACCAGAAGATCAGGGATCTTAAGATCAGAACGCAAGTCCATCACAAGCCTCTCCATATTTGCTCTATAGCCCTCAGCGTCCGCCCTTATCACCGTATCACTCTCTCCCTGGTACCACAACACGGCTCGTATGCTTCCCCCATTCTTCGCCGACTCAAGCGCCCTGCTCACCAACTCACTGTACAACGACGTCCCTCGCGCCCACGCGCTGATCCTCGTCCCGCCAACCGCACACGGGACCAGCCCCACCACCTCGTCCGAGCCCCTCGCCCGAACAACCTCGTTCGCAAAGGCCATGCCCGGCCCGACACCGCAGGCCTTGCCGGCGTCGATGTCGGCGTGGAGTGGCTCGTGTGCTTCCTCCCACTGGCGCCCGGCATTGAGCCGGCTTATGCGCCGGTTGGGCCAGCATTGTGGTGGCACGTACTGGTCCCACCTCCCGCGAACGACTCCGCCACGGCCGGCCATGTTGCTCTGCCCTGCTAGTATGAAAATGTCGAGCGACGCAGAATTCACTATACCTAATAAGTTGGCTATTGACACCAGGGAGAATAAGTATAACCAGAATAATCTGGGCCTGCCCATGATTTTTCTGGCAAAAATAAATAAATAAATAAATACTTGGGTTTGTCCAAGTGATTTTAGCTTTTATACGATGATAAACTGAATCATGCAAGTTACAGAATTATGCGTTGTCATGGTATTGGGATTGACAGTGATTTTTTCTATGGAAAAGGTGTGATATTGTTTTTGAGATGAATGTGTGGGAGATTTGGATAATCATGTGATTTCCTAAATTAGATTTTGCTTAGTTTTCTCTCATAATTGATGTAATCTAAGAACTCATTAGAGAATTAGAAGGGTAGAGATTCTCTATATCTCGTGACTATAACCTGCTATATAGGTCCATCTCAGATTCTCAGTGTCAGTTATAGAAATGCCTTAAGTAACTGATGCCACAAAACTGCGATCCAATTTGAGCTCTGCAATTCGAAAAATGATGGAAGAATAAGAAAAATGAGCTGTACCTTTCCAACCAAGGTGTAGAGCCAAATCTGTACTCATTTCAAAGCCTTTCCAATCTCCTAAAAGGCCATTAAAAAAAATAAAACATACATACATACATGAACTTTTGAGTTTTTGACCTTCTTCTCATGCACGGTTTATCATGTATGCCCATAAAAGAGGGTTGTTATTTTTAATAATTGGATGAGCTGGAGATTCGGACTGAAGTCATATTCAATTCAATCAATGAATCTCAAAGGATGAAATATGACTGTTAAATAATTTAAAAAAAAAAGGATGATGTATCAAACTTGTTTTTTCCTATTTGTTTGGTGCTAAGGATTCCAAAAAATTTATTGGAATAATTGGTGTTATATATTGATATATTATGTGGGGTGAAAAGTTGCTATGGTATGAAATTCAAGAAGATAAATAAGGATCTTAAGGGAAAATAAGATTAAAATATAAACAAAAAGAAAACCCTCCATATGCACCATTGGTTGTCCCTGTCTGAAACATAATTGCTAACGAAAACTAGGATTTTGGTAGCATGATATGAAACTATAATCTAAAAGCTAGACTAATAATTGTTATTTATATAAATTAGAGGGGAAAAACAATCCAACGCTTCAAATCCGATTCGGAAGGAACAACTAATGCAGTATATTTCTAACCCCCTCCAATTTTTTTTTTTTTAATTAATGGGGAATATTTTTAATATTGCCTAATTTGTTTAAGAGTTGATACTTGATCCTCCACTACGAATATCTTTAGAGTACTTCTAATGCCCCTTTGCCGTTGAGATGGATTCAGACACTTGAAAAGCATTTAACATTAAAATTCTTTTAGCAAAGAAAACCGTAAGTAAACGGGTATATTATAATTAAATTAAGAATAAATAAGGTCTCTGTGCTGACAAATGTATTGGATTATTTTCATAAATACCTCATGAATTATGTATTATGTTTCAAAATGTCCCTCAATTTTTTAAAATCGTTCAAGACGCTCCCTGATATATAGAAAACATATCAAATTATCCCTCCGTTAACTTCCGTGTATAATTTTAGTAGTTTGTTGACGTGGCACATTGTTAAAAGGTTAGTTAAATGTATTCAATTCTAATTTAAAATTATATAACAATTATTTAATATTAAAATAATATAACAGAAGTTAAAACATAAAATTTTTCCAAAAACAAAAGAAAAAAAGATTAAGTGGTAGTCTTCTTTCTTGGCTCTAACTTGAAGAATCCTATTTTCACACGTATGTGTGTTGCCGCCCCCCATCACCCCCACATCCGCAACCACGTTGCACCACTGTGAGCACGCCTCACCGGAGAGTGAAGCCCAGCAAGGCACCGGCCACGTCCCTTCTCGCAAACACCAATCACGAACCCAACCAAGCCACCTCACAATGGTTGCGAAGAATAGGCTCGCTACGGGATTCACAAAAGAGCTCGTTGAAAAAGACATTGCCGCTAGTGGTTGCGAGTGGAATGGGGAATCACGACGTTCAGTTAGGAGGCTCGGTTGGGCATTTGGGCGCATTTTGGCGAGGTGTTGTTGTGACGGCCAAGGCTCGAGGGAGGCTCTCACTGCTTGAGATGGTGGAGACGATGAGGGGTGGTCTCCGATGCTCGCGATGGCATTCCGGCACTCGCAGGGTCATCAGCCAATAGAGGAGGTGCAATTGGGATGGTGTCGGGTGGCGCTGAGAGTGAGTGATGGGGTGGCTGCTTAACTCTAGAGTTTTTTTAAATAACTTTAAATGAATCAAATTACATATTTTAGATCAATGGTTAAAACTAAATGGGCCTTAAGTTTTTATTAATATTTTCTAATAATAAGCATATATGTTGTAAAAATATATATATTTTTTATCTTTAATAACGTGCCATGTCAACAAACTATTAAAATTATCCACAAAAATTAAGGGAGTAGATAATTTGATATGTTTTCTATACATTAGGGGACGTTTTGAACGATTTTAAAAAATCAGGAGACAGAATACATAGTTTAGGGGTACTAATGAAAATAATCCAAATTTATTTGGTATGATGGTATCAGGATCTAGTGGTGGAAGCCCGCTGGGTTCACTTACTTATTTCACGTGGCACTACACTTCTCAGGTAAATTGAGGTTGCCAAAGTGGTACCTTTAATAGCAAATTAATAGGAAAAAAAGAAAAGTGTGCAGTATTCAGATGGTAAAATGGCACTATAATCTATGTTACTTATTACCTACAATACATATGGTTTGGGAAAACTGTCTGTATCAGCATTTCTGTACTTGCGGTTCATCCATCAATTCTATTGTAGGATGGTAAGGTGCATTTTAGTTGGGTTGTAATTTTCAGCGTCACTCGAATTTGAAAATTGTACTTATCTCCATCGTTTTCAACACGTACTGGATTTAGATGCTCACCGATTAAAATTATTTCCAACAAATACTCTAAAGTTCCTCCGGATCTATCTTAGAAAACGTTATTATAGGGGAATAAACATTGGTCTAGCTAATAGAATTCATAAAAGCACATGACCCTTTGGAAAATTTACATGTTATCGTAATATACACAAGTACAGTATTCCCCC